ACTACTACTACTACTACTACTACTACTGCTGCTGCTGCTGCTGCTGCTGCTGCTGCTGCTGCAACTGCTGCGACGACGACGACGACGACGACGACGACGACGACGACGACTACTACTACTACTACTGCTACAACTACGATGGTGAGGAGAAGGAGGAGGACGGCGTTTACCGCTCCTACTGATGTTGCTTTCCTAGAGGCTCCATCTCCTAGGTCGGGTCGCACTTGCATGATTTGTTTTGTGCATTTTCAAGTGTTCGTCCGCGATCCCCTGAAGGAGGACATGCCCGTCCTAACGCCGAGCTCCTCTTGCGCAGAGGGCGCCTGCGCTCGTAGGGGGCCGCATGCGAACCCTACCCCTACCCCCCACGACCTACCCCCTGCGATTTCTGAGGGGGAGGGTGGGGTTGACTTCGCTCGGGAGCTCCCGATTGGGGGCTTATCGCGCCGATTTGTCGGCGACGCATCGCCGGTTCCAGGTCGATGCATCCCCCCCTATGCCAGGTCCCCCCCGTTCGCTGCCCCTCGTGGGCGCGGGGGGGAGTAGGAAGGAGAAGGCCTTCTCTGGCATGTCCCTCTACAAGAGGAATAGATTCAAAAATCGTCAAACAATTATATGGGGACGATTTTCCACTAATTTTAAATATTGTTTGACTATTTCCCAACCCTCCTGTGGTTGGGTATTCGTTTTGCATGGAGCAGTGTGGTCGCCCCGTCCTCCTTCTTCTCCTCCCCCCTCCTCCCCTCCTCCTCTCCTGTTTCCTGTGTTCTCCTCTCCTCTTCTCTCGTGCCGTCGGGCTGCGATCTGCGCAAGTGTCGCCACTCTCGTGGGCTCCTGGGAGGCCCAGCGGAGGTACGTCCAACGCGAATCACCTCGAGACCTCGCGGTACCTTGGGGGCTGCGATCTGCGAAATTGTCGCCACTTTCGTGGGCTCCTGGGAGGCCCAGAGGAGGTACGTCCAACGCGGATCACCTCGAGACCTCGCGGTGCCCTGGGGGCTGCGATCTTCACAATTGTCGCCACTTTCGTGGGCTCCTGGGAGGCCCAGCGGAGGTACGTCCAACGCGGATCACCTCGAGACCTCGCGGTGCCCTGGGGGTTGCGATATGCGAATCTGTCGCCATTTTCGTGGGCTCCTGGGAGGCCCAGCGGAGGTACGTCCCACGCGGACCACCTCGAGACCTCGTGGTGCCCTGGGGGGTTGCGATATGCGAATCTGTCGCCACTTTCGTGGGCTCCAGGGAGGCCCAGCGGAAGTACGTCCTACGCGGACCTCCTCGAGACCTCGCGGTGCCCTTGGGGGCTGCGATCTGAGCAACTGTCGCCACTTTCGTGGGCTCCTGGGAGGCCCAGCGGAGGTACGTCCAACGCGGACGACCTCGAGACCTCGCGGTGCCCTGGGGGCTGCGATCTGCGACATTGTCGCCACGTTCGTGGGCTCCTTGGAGGCCCAGCGGAGGTACGTGCAACGCGGACGACCTCGAGACCTCGCGGTGCCCTGGGAGCTGCGATCTGCGCAATTGTCGCCTTTTTCGTGGGCTCCTGGGAGGCCCAGCGGAAGTACGTCCTACGCGGACCACCTCGAGACCTCGCGGTGCCTTGGGAGCTGCGATTTGCGAGATTGTCGCCCCTTTCGTGGGCTCCTGGGAGGCCCAGCGGAGGTGCCCTGGGAGCTGCGATCTGCGAAACTGTCGCCACTTTCGTTGGCTCCTGCGAGGCCCAGCGGAGGTACGTCCAACGCGGATCACCTCGAGACCTCGCGGTGCCCCGGGGGGCTGCGATATGCGCAACTGTCACCACTTTCGTGGGCTCCTGGGAGGCCCAGCGGAGGAGGTACGTCCCACGCGGATCACCTCGAGACCTCGCGGTGCCCTGGGAGCTGCGATCTGCGCAATTGTCGTCATTTTCGTGGGCTTGGGAGGGCCAGCGGAGGCTCGTCCCACGCTGACCACCTCGAGACCTCGCGGCGCCCTGGGGGGCTGCGATTTGCGAATCTGTCGCCACTTTCGTGGGCTCCTGCGAGGCCCAGCGGAAGTACGTCCCACGCGGACCACTTCGAGACCTCGCGGTGCCCTGTGGGGGCTGCGATCTGAGCAGCTGTCACGTCCCACGCGGACCACCTCGAGACATCTTGGTGCCCTGGGGGGCTGCGATATGCGCAACTGTCGCCACTTTCGTGGGCTCCTGGGAGGCCCAGCAGAGGTACGTCTTACGCGTTGCCGCTGCTCTTCTTGCTGCGCTCTTCTGATTTCACTGCTGGGTGCTCTTCTTCCGCACTGCGGGTTTGTCAGGATGCCCGTCAGCATTGAGTGGTCCTGAGTGTAATCGCCACATGTATAGAAAGGGTTGGGTACGTCGCGGGGTAATTGATTTTTTTCCGTCCAGAATCCGCCTGTAGCAGGACACGCCCGACCTAAGCCTTCTCAGAAGTCGGAGAAGAAGAAACGCTATAAGCATGAACTGGTGGCGCTCCGCGCGGATTTCTTGGATCCGCGCCGGGCCCCCCCTGGCGGCCCCTGGAGCAGATCCACGAAACCCGCGCGGAGGGCAAGCGTTTATGTTTACGGCGCTTCCTTCTTCTGAGGAGGCCTCCGGCCTTCTGAGAGGTGTTATGTGCCTTCGGGGGAGGCCCGAGAAGGCCCGCCCCTTCTCGTTTCCCCCCCCTGGCCTCAAAGTCGGGCGTGTCCTTCTACACTCTACAGGAGGAATGTTTGAGTATCTGTCGAATCTTTGTGTTTCGCCCAACATCCGCCTGTATAGTGCCGGTTTTGATACATGCTCCGCGGGCGGATCATGTATTAAAAATAAACGGATTTAGCATTAAAGACAACGATGAGTTCATGCATCAAGTAATCATTGATAAAGATCATATATAAAAGATCCGATGCATTAAAAATTGCCCAGTAGGGGGACATGCCCGACCTAAGGCTGCACGTAAGGGTGGCCCATCGCCGGAGTGGCCGCTGGTGCGCGGCTTCCGGGGGGCGCCTCGGGGCCAAGCCCAGGCACGACGGCCGCCACTGGCGCACCGCACGGGGCGCCCGGTACGCCGAGCACCAAAGGTCCCGCCTCCCCCTCCTCCTCCTCCTCCTCCTCCTCCTCCTCCTCCTCCTCCTCCTCGTCCTCCTCTTCCTCCTCCTCCTCCTCTTCCTCCTCCTCCTCCTCCTCCTCCTTCTGCTCCTCCTCCTCCGCATCATCATTCTCCTCCTCCTCAACCTTCTCCTCCTCCTCCTCCGCCTCCTTCTCCTCCTCCTCATCATCATCAGGGCCAATCTTGCGTGTATCCACGTCGCGGTCCCCAAGCGTCAGAGTCCCGAGCTTTCCCGAGCCTCCCGCACCGGCGGCACGTTATCCGCTCGCAGGGCACAGCGTGCCGCCGGGGCCGCCGCGGCGACACGCTATCGGGAGCCTTGAGACGGGTGTCAGTGCAACTGCAGGTCAGCCAGATCGCCAGATTTTGCAGGATCCTGTAGAGCCAGGGTCGCACTGACCCGGCCTGAGGCACAGGATCCTGCAGGATCCTGCAACGCCTGACTGACCCGGGGGGGTTTTGACCCTGGTAGATCCCCGATGCTGTCCAAACGTTCCCGACCGTCTACACCACCACCACGCCTGTCCAGGGCCATCCCGGGCCTCCAGTTTTGAGTCGGGCGTGCCCCTCTACAGGAGGAGTATGCAAAAATTGTCAAAAATTAATGCGGGAACGATTTTTGGCTATGTTTGAGCCTTTGTTGAGCGCATCTTTTGGCTACTTTTTATGTTTCCTCCAAAATCCCCCTCTTAGAATTACATGCCCGACCCAACTCCAGGTGGTGAGCGGACCCTCCCGGCCTCAGCCGGGCGGGGGCCGAACAGCGCGCCGGGGCCCAGGATGCCCCTGCCTAGGCACGGCTGCAGTACTCAGCCACGCGCGGAGGGGGCCTTAGGGCTACGTCGGGCGTGTCCCCCCACAGAGAGCTTCGACGAAACAATTTAAGATTTTCAAGAAATATTCCCAAATGATGAAAATCCTAAAAAATAGTCCCCATACTATTTTTTCATTATTTTTGAATATTCCCGTTGTAGAGGGACGGGCCCGACTTCAGCCTAGGGGGGAGGGAGGGGGGAAAGGCTTCTTAGACGGAGGCTGCTTCTTAGATCGGTGGCGGCAAAGAGGGGTGTGATGACTAGGGCGCGGGGTATCACGGCGGGGGCCATGATGTCTCCCCAGACTTCATGGCGCCCCTTCTGATTTCATTACGTCCCTGGCCCCCCCCCCTGGGCCGCGCACATGCCGTCGGCCATGATTTCCCCCCCCCCCTCCTCCCCCCCCCCTTGGACGCCTTCCTCTTGGCCGCCCCCGATTAGAAGGCGCGAGCCTTCTCTACAGATGTAGGGCCGGCCCCTTCTGATCAGCAGCCTCCTCCTAACATGCCCTTCCCCCCTCTCACCCACCCCCTGGTGCGCGCCGCCAAGAGATGTGCCCTCTCCAAGCTGGAGTGGTGGATCTGGTGCAGAGCGGTCAGCGGCTAGAGGTGCTATCGTTCATTGGTGGTGTACTCTGGAGCGCAAGACTACGCCACTACTGCGGGGGGAGGGGCGCGCGAACTACAGGCGAACTACAGGACGACGACGACGACGGTGACGACGACGGCGACGACGACGGCGACGACGACGACGACGACGACGGCGACGACGACGACGAAAAAGACGACAGCGTCTCACACACGCCGAAGGGTCGGCGGATTGAGGAGTCGTGCTCTCGCCTCAGTGCTGGTCACATCTTTGGTCCGGACGGTCACGATCTCTTGGATGTTCTGTGTGTTTTGGCCGGTGGAGGGTCTCACGTTCTTGAAGGATGCTCTTCTGCCCTAGGTCCGAGTATACTGCACGGGCGACAACCATCGCGTGCGAAGAAAGATGCACAGCTGCGTCGGCGCGCAACATCCAGCCCGCAAACCAGGCACCAACCGGTGCAAGCACTGTGGCACCGCTCTCCCCGCGGACCCATCTGCGCCAGACCCACCACCCGGGCTTAACTCGGTGCCCTCCTCGCCCTCCCCCGCCGTGGCGCCGATCCTCTTGACCTGGAGATGGGCGGCCCCGGGCGCCTGGCGTGCTGAGCGGACTCCGGCGGGCCATGGGCGCGCCCGAGAGGCCGCCAGGGCCCGGCGGCACGAGCGAGATGGACTCGATGTGGGCCTGGACGAGGATCGGTGGTTCAAAGATGGTGTCCCCAGGGATGGGGGACGTGAGGATAGCATGGGATCCAAGGGTGGACTCACGTTGTATGAGGCACCTCGTCCTCAGGACCCCATCCCTCGGGACTCCATCTTTGGACTACTCTGAGAGGAGGTGGGGGGTGCAGATGCACGAGGACATCTCGAAGAGGACAGCGCTGCATGAGCACAGACTGCCGGAGCTCCGCGCGGAGTTACCCGGATCGGCATGGGCCCCCCCCCCCGACGGCGCACCCGACGCCCCTCGCGCGCCCCGCGCGCCAGACAGGGGAGGCCCAGCGCCGATCCAAGAGCTCTGCGCGGAGCTCCGACAGCCTGCCCGTGCCGCCCCGTCTTCCTCGAGCATCGGCCCAGCGCTCGTCGGCGGCGGGGGGCTGTGGGGCGTGGTGGCCAGGAGGCCCCTCGAGGCCGACGCCGTGCTGATGCGGGTCCCCGTGGAGGCGCTCTTCCCCCTCGACCCGAACGCCGAGTCGTCGCCAGCCGTGCCGGCGGAGCTGCTGCGCTCGATCCCGGACAACTTCTTCGCTCCGAAGGTGCCCGCGGTCCAGCTGGCCCGGGTGCTCGGCGGCTCCTGCGAGCCCGAGTTCCTGGAGCGCTGGCGCCCGTACCTGGAGAGGCTGAGGGCGCTCGTGTTCTGGGCCGAGGTCCCGGAGTTCGTCGACGCCTTCCAGCAGTCGCCCCTCAGGGACAAGGCCCTCTATCGAGGAGCAAAACCTGGCAGAGTGAGGAACTTTCAGAAGTCTGATGGGCAAATTTCCCACCACCGCTGCCATTTGTAGAACGAGGGAGAAAGAGGATTGGGAGGTACTGGTCCCCCTCCTCCTCCTCCACTTCCTCCTCCTCCTCCTCCTCCTCCTCCTCCTCCGCCTCCTCCTCCTCCTCCTCCTCCCCCTCCTCCTCTTCCTCCTCCTCCTCCTCCTCTTCCTCTCCTCCTCCTCCTCCTCCTCCTCCTCCTCCTCCTCCTCCTCCTCCTCCTCCTCCTCCCCCCTCTCCTACCTATGTCAGTGGTAGTGGAACATGGGCCCATCGAGGTCCGCCCTCGTGTCTGGGACGGCAGCGCCGCGCCCCGCCCCCTCTGGGCGAGCGGAGCGCCGCCAGCGGCTTGGCAGCGATCGGGCGTGCGCGTTTTTTTTGTTGTTGGCACGGGCCAGCACCGCCCACCAGGGGGAGGAGGAGGAGGAGGAGGAGGAGGAGGAGGAGGAGGAGGAGGAGGAGGAGGAGGAGGAGGAGTGGGAGGAGGAGGAGGAGGAGGAGGAGGAGGACGTGGAGGAGGAGGAGGAGGAGGAGGAGGAGGAAGAGGAGGAAGCCACCCCAACCCATACCGAAGGCCACGACTTTGCGCTCCACTTCCAGTGGGGGGGGCGGTCGGGCAACACTTACAGTGCCGTGTTTAATACATGATCCGCGAGCGGATGATGTATTAAAAATGCTGGGATTTTGTACTGAAAAACAACGCGGAGTTCATGCATTGATCCATTACTACATTGATCATGTATTAAAATCCAATATTCAAAACAAAACTTATGTATTAAAAACTGCCCAGAGGTCGGGCATGTCCCTCTATAGGAGGAAGATTTACATCGATTCAGAAAGACGATCTTCATAGCATGTTTGGCAAATTTGTTTACTCTGGTTTCATCTGTCGTCGACAATCCCCCTGCAGGGGGACATGCCCGACCTAAGGCAACATGGGAAAGCCACATATGAAGCCTGCCCTCCCCCCCCCCCAATCCCGAAATTCGAGCGACATTCGGGTCTTCGGGTTGGTTGGGGTGATCTGGTAGGCAGTCATACCATCGAGCAGCATGCGAGGCCATCTTGCCACAAAACAATACACGCACGGCACATCGAAACATGCACGGGGAAGGGACGTCGGAGCGATGGCGAGAGGCGGCCTCCAGCGCCGATGCGACGACGCCGCGCGGAGCTCCGAAAGCTTGTGCGTCTGCAGTCCTTTGCTCCTCGGCCCCATACGTCGGCGGCTGGGCCAGGCGCGCCTCGGGCACACCGGGCGGTGGGAGCGCGCCGGGGCTCAACCGGAGCCTGTACCTGCATGCCGTGCGCTGCCTGCTGTCGCGGGTGCACGGCACCGACAGCAAGGGGGGGAGGCCGGAGGAGGGAAAGGTGTCCATAGTGTGGGTCTCAAGAGTATACACCACCCCCAGCTTCCTCACCCCCTCTCCCTCTCCCGGGAGAGAGGAGGGGGAGAGGAGGGTGGAGTAGGGAGGGGAAGTGAAGGTGGTGGTGGTGGTGGCGTCTACTCTTGGGTCCGCACACACCGCTACCCTTCCCTCGTTTTCCCCTTCTTGGGCCTCCTGGGGGGTCCTCGTAGTCATCGCTGGATTCGCTTCGAAATGCTGGTCAGAACGCACATCGGGAGATGGAGAGGTCTGGGGAGTAGCGGTAGCAGTACATTTTGGCTTCCCCAGCAGGGCTCTGGTGCCGGGGGGGGACATGTTTAACCATCACTTCCTCCACAACGCCCGCTGGACATACCAGGCAGGCCCGCCCGGCTTCTTTGCCGTCCTGGCTGCAAAGCCCATCGCTGAGGGGCAGGAGGTAGTTATTTCGTACGGGGATGACTTGAGCAATGAGGAGCTGATGGATCAATACGGCTTCACGCAGGCTCCGTATTGGGAGCCTTTCCATACGTTTTTCTTGTTTATGGAGGAGGCTCCTGATGGCTCCATGCGCCACCCAGGATTTGAGATCAGCGATAAAACGCGTTCCCTCATGCTCAAGACGCCGATCGTGATCGAAGGCGTTGGAGCAAGGAATTTCCCCAACGAGTTCTTGAGCTTCGTCGACGCCCACAACTCCACCTGGAGGGATATCCTGCGCCAGCACCTGGAGTTCCACCTGAGGCGCTACGGCAGCGATGCCTCGCTGGAGCTCCTGGTGGCGACCTGGCGCGCGAACCGCGAGCAGAGCCCGCGGACCGCGGTGTGGTGGACCCCCCTGCCCAGCTGCCGCTCCGACTACGGCAGCCCCGCAGAGGACGACAGCGGTGGGTGCGCGGGCGAGCGCGACCTCAGCGCCGAGCTCGCGGCGGGCTCCTTCGTGGCCGAGAGCGTCCTGCGCGTCAAGATGACGGAGTACGTGGCCCTCACGGCGTTCGGGTCTCCAGAGACGGGGGTCATTGCAAACGGGGGTCAGCCAGGGCGCCGGATCTTGCAGGATCCTGCGGGGCGGGGGGCGCATTGACCGGGGCTTGGGTGCAGGAACCTGTTGGATCCTGCAGGATCCTGCAGGGCCAGGGTCGCACTTATCCGGGTTAGGGTGCAGGATCCTGCAGGATCCTGCAAGGCCCGACTGACCCGGATCTGGATGGACCCGGCTCAGAAGATCCCCGAGGCGTATTCCGAGATGTTGGACATTCTCGAGGGGCGCCGCGATTGGCGGTCCGCCCTGATGTCTGCGACCGGGATGGCGGACATGCTCGACTTCGACCTGCGGCGGTACAGGTCTCCAGAGGGCACCTGTGCGCTCCTACCCTTACCGCCCTACCCCTACCATGCCTGGGCCAGGGCCCCCAGGATTGTGCACAGGCCCTCCTGGCATCGGCCAGGAGTCCGGGACATATCCGAGGCCTCGTGGGCCGGGCCCCTGGGCGCGACCCCGCGGATGCGGTGGACACCCATGCCAAGAAACACCCTGCCTGCCTCCAGGGTGCCCTGGGTTTCTTGGGTTTCAGCGGCTTCGCTGTGGAAGGCGTGACGTTCCCACACCAAAAAGCAATGTTCGTCCTGGGGTCTCAGGGTTGGGCTTCTTGTGGAAGGCTTCTTGTGGATTGGCCTCCACTGCTCGGGGCGTTGTTGTCGTGGACGCCCCGCGCGGAACGCCTCCGTGCGACGGCGCATCCCGCGGGGCCCCGCGCCCCAGAGTCCACGCCGCAAGGGCACGGAAAAGCCACGGCTCTGCTCGCCGCTCGTGCAGGAGGGCTCGTGCGCGCCACGCTGGGGCCCAGGATGGCCCTGGCCGGGCACGGTGGTGCGCTCGTTGGGGAAACAGCCTGCGCCGCCCGCGCGACCAGTGTGCCCCCGATGCGTCGCCCGTGGGTTGCGGGATTCCAGCCAGCCGAGACATCGCGTGGCAGGCCGCCGATATCAAATCGGCGCGGCGCGGGGGGGGGGAGGGGCGTGTTTTTTTTGTTTGAAAAAAAAAGAATCAGAACCTAAAAGGCCCAGGATTTTGCCCCTGCACCGTGGCGCGCCGATGCCTCTCGGACGGGGCCAGGACGAGGGTGAGTCCGTGCCTGCGTGCTCTGGCGCGCCCTCGGAGCGTTCCGGAAGGCTACGAGGAGGCCGCGGCGCCCGAGCCATCTTCCAGAGCCGCGGGACCTCAAAGGCTCGTCTTGGTTCATCCTCCCCCCGATCTCTCCTCGTCCTGGCTTCCCAGGCATGCGACGTCTTGATTCTTGGGCTTACGCCACACCGCCAATTCCCCTTGGAGAATCGGCGATCGTTGCGTGTTGCTCCTGAGGTCCTCTTGTGCGCCTTTTGGGGGGCTTCGTGGAGCTCTTTGGGGGGCTTCACGTTTTTTTTTTGTTCGGGGCCTCTTGGGCTGACATTCGCAGTATTCGCCGTGCGCGTATGGAGAATGGGGTGAGAACCCGCGTATACAAACGGATAGTATTTGTCAAAACACCCGACGAATGATTATCGAATGGCATTCGGCACATCCCGCCATCGTGCTTGGGGTGCGGGTCTGAGGCCACTATGATGGCTGATGGGGTCTCATGGGAGGCGTGTCGGAGGCGTCTTGGAGGCAGTTTTGTCCCCCCCCCTGCGGTGGGCATTTGTTTTGAATAGAACACTGCCCGCGCGTCTTCCCCTTCTCCGGCCGTTTTCCTCATCTCGTTTCTTCCGCCTCTCACCTCGATCCTTCCTGCGTGCCAGCTTACCACCTACCTGGCCATCCCTGGGTGTGTGTGTGTGGGGGGTGGGGCGATCTGCGAAACGGTAGCCACTTTCGAGGGTTGCTGTGGGCTGGGGGGGTGCAGCGGAGTGACGTCTTACCCAGACCACCAGGAGACATCGCCATTCCTGTGGGGATGCGATCTGCGAAGCTGTCGCCACTTTCGAGGGCTGCTGGGGGGTCCAGCGGAGTGACGTCTTACGCAGACCACAAATGCATCTTGCCATCCCTGGGGGGCTGCGATCTGCGAAGCTGTCGCCACTTTCGAGAGCTGCTGGGGGGTGCAGCGGAGTGACGTCTTACCCAGGCCACCAGGAGACCTCGCCGTCCTTGGGGGGCTGCGATCTGCGAAGCTGTCGCCACTTTCGAGGGCTGCTGGGGGGTGCAGCGTAGTGACGCCTTCAGACCACCAGGAGACCTCGCCGTCCTTGGGGGGCTGCGATCTGTGAAGCTGTCGCCACTTTCGAGGGCTGCTGGGGGGTCCAGCGGAGTGACGTCTTACCCAGGCCACCAGGAGACCTCGCCGGGGGGGCTGCGATCTGCGAAGCTGTCGCCACTTTCGAGGGCTGCTGGGGGGTGCAGCGTAGTGACGCCTTCAGACCACCAGGAGACCTCGCCGTCCTTGGGGGGCTGCGATCTGTGAAGCTGTCGCCACTTTCGAGGGCTGCTGGGGGGTCCAGCGGAGTGACGTCTTACCCAGGCCACCAGGAGACCTCGCCATCCCTGGGGGGGCTGCGATCTGCGAGGCTATCGCCACTTTCGAGGGCTGTTGGGAAGCTCAGCGGAATGACTTTCTATTCAGATTCAGATCAATCCTCGCCATTTTCAGGGGTACAGAGGTTGCGGAGGAGGAAAGGCGGAGGAGGAGGAGGAGGAGGAGGAGGAGGCGGAAGAGGAGAAATGGGAAGACGCGGCGGAAGAGGAGGATGGGGAGGAGGAAGAGGAGGAGGAGGAGGAGGAGGAGGAGGAGGGGGAGGAGGAGGAGGATGAGGAGGAGGAGGAGGAACGGGGGGAGGAGGTCTGGCACGTGCTGCCGCGGCGACGCTTGCGCGTTTCTTGCACAACCTACACGCAGGTTCAATTGTTTGTTCGAGCGCCGCGGCGACATGGTGCAGGCAGCGCTGCATCTTTAGGGTACGACCGACAACATCAACACCCTTCGGTCTCCTCCCGTCACAATCGTCGTGGTCCTCTGCCCCCTGCCACCTTCCCGCTGCTGCTGCCGCGCTGACGGTTCGGCCCCCCGCGCGTTCTTCTCCTGCCCTCCGTTCCCACCCCCATGTTCTCCTCAAGCCTGGGCCCTCGCTTCTTGTCATTATGTTATTGTCTTGTGAATCGTGCCACGTGAGCGCATCCCACGGAGCAAGCACAACACATAACGGCGCCTGCACTGTCATAGTCCTGGCAAGTTTGGGCCACTCGTGGGAAAACGGGCGAAAACCCACGTATACAGACGGACGACATCTGTCAAAACACCCGACGAATGATTGTCGAGTGGCCTTCGGCACATCCCGTCACCGTGCCTGGGTTGCGGGTCTGAGATCACTCGGATGACTGACTGATGGGGTCTCATGGGAGGCGTCTCGGTGGCGTCTTGGACGCAGTTTGAACCTTTGGGGGGCCTCTTGGGGAGTTGTTGCGGCCATTTTGGGGCTCCCTGGGGGCCTGTTGGGGGCTCCTTGGGGCATCCCGGAAGCGTCTTGGGGTGGATGAGTCGAAATGTCCGTTCGGGTTCCCCCTCGGGGCCCCCTCTTGGGGCCCTCCTAGGCCGTCTTGGGGGTTTCTTGGGCCCTCTTGGGTCGTCTTGGAGCCCTCTTGGGGGCCTCTTGGCCCGTCTTGGGGCAATCTTCACGGCCTCTCGTGCCTTGTAGGACGTTGTGAACGCCCAAGAGATGAATGTGCTAAAATGCACGTTTTTCCGGGAGAATGGGACGATTGTTGTTTTTGGAGGCCTTCTTGCGGCGCCTCGTGGGGGCATCTTGGGGCGTCTTGAAGGCCTTTTTCTGGATTTTCGGGAGGCCATTGATTCTGCGACTCGGGGCCTTCCTGGCCCGTTGTGAGGCTGTCGATGCCACCCTGGCAGAATTGCTGGGGCAAAGTACCCCCCCAGCCGCCTGGGTAGACCCTCCTAATCGAGCGGATCCGGGGGGCAGGGTTGGGGGAGGGGGAAACGTCACACGTCGATGAACCCCAAGGGGTCGGAGGATTTTTACTTCCACACGGGGCCCCTGGAAATCCCGACCCCTTCCCCGGGACTGGTCTTTCGTCCCGAGTCGTTTTCTTGATGACGGCCTTGAGGCCCGGCGAGGGCCTCCCGAGGCCGAAATTGGCCAAAAACCTCCCGTCCTGATTTTTTCACCAACGCGATCATTTATGGGGCAGACGTGGCGACGGCGAGCGACGGCCCCTGAAAAAGCACGCCCGGAACCAGTCGGGGTGCAGAGGGGAAGGAGGAGGAGGAGGAGGAGGAGGAGGAGGAGGAGGAGGAGGAGGGAGGAGGAGGTGGAGGCGGAGGCGGAGAGAGGAGGAGGAGGAGGAGGAGGAGGAAGGAGGAGAGGAGGAGGAGGGGAGGAGGAGAGGAGGAGGAGGGAGGAGGGAGGAGGGGGAGGGAGGAGGAGGAGGAGGGAGGGATGAGGAGGAGGAGGAGGAGGAGGAGAAGGATATTCCTCGAGGAGGAGGAAGAGGCGGAAGGAGAAGTCATGTCTCCGTTCGTCTCGACTTCTCCCGCAGGGGCGCGCCCCGCGCCGCGGCGGCGCCGGGGCCGCGCGCGCCCGCGCGCGAGGCGCCGCCGGCCGCGGCGGGCCTCGGCGCACTCGCCGCGGGCGCCCTGGTCCAGCGGCGGCCTCGGCGGCATGCCCACGCGGGCGCCGCCACGTGGCCGGCGCGTGGGCCGGCGCGGCGTGCCTGCTGCTGGCTCGCAGCAGGCCCAGAGCCCCTCCTCCTCCTCCTCCTTCCTCCTCCTCCTCCTCCTCCTCCTCGCCTGTCCTCCCTCCTCTCTTCTCGTCCTCCTCCTCCTTCCTCCTCCCCCTCCTCCTCCTCCTCCTCCTCCTCCCTCCTCCTCCCTCCTCCTCCTCCTCTCCTCCTCCGCCTCCTCTCCTCCTCCTCCTCCTCCTCCTTCCTCCTCCTCCTCCTCCTCCCCCCCCTCCTCCTCCGTGCCTGCTGGCACGCTGCACGTCCAGAGCTCAAGCTTTGGCGAAGCGTCCTGGCTGGCCTATAGGTCCACCAGGGAACGTTCTAAGAACCTCTCGAGATCTGCACGACATGTTCTCATAACATTTCTGGCTGAGACTGTCTTGTGTTAGCACGTCGGGTTTATGTTCTAAGAGCATGGTTTTCTTTTTGAGAAGACACTTGTGCATTAGCCCTATACAAATGCCGGGACGGTCGGTCCCTGCTCAAAGAGCCCTGGGTTCGAGGCTTTCGTCGGCGGCGAGCGAGGGGGTGGACGTGAGAAGGCGAAGGCATTCTCAGAGGGCGGCGGGACTTCTCAGAAGCCCTCGCGCCTTCTGAGAAGTTGTCTGTGTCCTCGGGGGGAGGCAAAAACTTCTCCGAAGGCTGGGGGACTTGCGAGCCTTCTGAGAGTGCCTGCCCCTTGTCACTTCCCCCTCGCGCTTGTCGCCAATTTCGGGTGCACTGAGATCCTGGCGACGCAGTTTTTCCGAGCCGGACGATTTCGCCCAGTTTCGGGCCACGAGACCCTCACAGATCGATCCGGCCAGAAAATGCGGTCCTCACACATCGATGCGGCTTGAAGAATGCCGCAGGAAGGTGAGGTCTAAAGGGCTCTGGTCGTGATTCTCCACGCTGATGCAATGCGTTCGAGGCGTCGGATCTCAGGGTGTTCCCGTTTGTGCTCGATGGTGTTCCAGTCTCGGGCTGCTGTCCCGTCTGCTGCGCCTCGCCGGGGGCGCGCGTTCCGGGGGGGCGGGCCCAGTCCTGATAGGCCGCCAGAGACCCGAGTGATGGCCCATTGCTGGCACGCAGCAGGACCAGACCTCCTTCGCGTCGCGAGCAAAGTCACGGTGGGAGGGTTCTGGGCAACGTTCGGCTTGTGGTGGCCCTCACTCGAGCAGAGGCGAAGCGTCCTGACTCGCCTATAGGCCCACCGAGGAATCTTCGAAGAACCGCACGTGTTTTGCACGGCGTGTTATTAGAGCATTTTTGGTCGAGACAACGTTGCTTCAATCAATGAGCTTCATTTTCCAAGAGCATTGTTGCCGCTCTAAGACCATCCGGTCGTTCTGAGAACATTCCGTAGTCGGCCTCAGGGAGTGCCGGGCTCCTCCTTTTCCTCCTCGCGCCCCCTCCCTCCCCCTCCTTTTCCTCCTTTTCCTCCTCCTCCTCCTCCTACCCCTCCCCCTCCCCCTCCTTCTCTTCCTCCTTCTCCTCCCCCTTCCCCTCCCCTTTCCCCCCCTCCCCCACGTCCTCCTCCTCCTCCTCCTCCTCCTCCTCCTCCTCCTCCTCCTCCTCCGCCTCGTCCTCGTTTCCCCCTCCTCCTCCTCCTCCTCCTCCTCCTCCTCCTCCTCCTAATCCTCCTCTCTCCTCCTCCTCCTCCTCCTCCTCCTCCTCCTCCTCCTCCTCCTCCTCCTCCTCCTCCTCCTCCTCCTCCTCCTCTTCATCCTCCTGCTCATTCTCCTCCTCCCCCTTCTTCTCATCCTCCTGCCCCCTTTGCCCCCCGCCGGGTGTTTCGCCGCCCAATAAATGCATGGCGTCGGGGGTCTTGGGGGCGCAGGTGGGCCAAGCGGGCGCTGGCGCGCTGCAGGCGGTGATGGGTTCCTCGGCCCACCGCGCCGGCCGCGGCAGCGAGCCCGCCGCGGCCACCGCGCTACCGGCCGCGTGCCTCCCGCAGGACTCCGCGGCGACCCCGCGGGGCCTCGCGTCTCCGTTTCGTTTTTTTGCTTCAGGACAGCACAACCCACCCCCACCCCCGCCAGGATCCCCACCCCTGACCTGGGTGTCCAGGGGGTCTTGGCTGCGGGTGGGGACAAATGCTCACACCCCCAGCCAAGACCCGGGCCGGACGAAAGAGGGGGATTGGGAAAGGGGGGGGTACGAAATCTGCTGCATGCAGCTGGTTTCGGCCCCACCGAGGGGCCCATTCCTCGATACATATCCGCCTCCGTCGCCGGGAGGCGCCGGGAAAATCGGCTACGTGAGCTGATTCTCAAACACCCCCTTTGGTATCCCCCCCTGTCGCCCGGCCCGAGAGACCCCCAGGATCAGCAGGTCGGTCGGGAGTGGGGGTCCTGGCGGGGTGGGGGGCGGGTTAGGCTGTGCTCATGTCTGGGCGCCCGAAATGAGTACGGCGGAACTAGGTACGACGCAGCGGCTGCAGTTGGGCAGGCGGCCGTCTGTCTCGAATGGACAACGGCCGCGGCCTTGCCAGCAGCGAACCCTATTCAGAATGAACAAGACTTGTGGTCAGATATTGTACCCATTGTTTCCGTATCCATGTCGATCGCCCCAAGTCTTATCGATCCGTCGGTGGTTCAAAGATGGTGTCCTGAGGGAATGGGTCCAAAGGAGATGAAGGGACCCAGGGGTGGATTTACATTGTTTGAGGTATTTCGTCCTTCGGACCCCATCCGTCAGGACCCATCTTTGTAACACCGAATCCCCACCCCCACTGGGCCATAAAATCGACAACAACATTGATTTACCCTCGGATTGCTCTGTTCGTCTGATGTACGGAAGCACGCAGAGTGTGAGAAACCACATTTACGAACATTAAACGCATGTTTCGTAGATTTATCGAAACAACCATTCTTGACACTTCGCGTATCCACACCTCGGCCGTGGGGGGTGGCGTTGCGTCCCCTCGCCTCCCCCCTCCCAGGCTCGGTGGGTTTCCCCCACCCGTGGCTTCGGGGCTCGCCCGTTGCGGCCTTCGCTGGGCTGTGCCCCCCCCCCCCCCCCCTCCCTGCTCGCACCGTGGTACGCGCTGCTCACGGCCCCCCCAGCGGCAGTTTCCACGGCTGTGGGGAGACACCTGGTGTGTGTCCGCGTTCGGGCTCAGGGGCAGCGCCATGCGACAGTCTGGGGTGGCTGGCCACCTCAGCTTCACTGCAGCAGGACCCCCCTGGCAGGCAGCGCTGACGTCTCCACCACCAGTGCGCCGACCATCACCACCCGACGGCGGCGCTGCCCACGCTAGAGGACCATTCGCTTCAGGCACGGCACCACAGTTGCGCCTTGGGCAGCCGCTGGCACCTCTGCACTGGTAGGAGGATTATTGAGGACTGGGCGCTGAGTGGTTCAGCCTACAACGCCTGTACAGCATTTGGTTTTCCCCCGACGCGCACTGTTTCCGGTTACCGCACAGCCGCTCGGCTTGTGCAGGTCGGCAGGTTGTGCACATCCGCACTTTCTTCTCGGCCTGCCCACTTCGGTTCGGGCTGCTGCGCCTAAGTGCGATTGCCCTGTGAATATAGTTCATTTTGTTCTGTGCGCGTGCAACTGCGGGCTTGTCTTGCAGGTGCGAGCTTTGTCCGCCGACACTGGCGGCATTGTCTTGCAAATTAGCCTCGTGCCGTGCCCTGGACGCCGCTTCCGCTCCCTGTCCGTTGCCTTGGAGCCGCCGACCAAAAAAGTATCCACACCTCGCGGTCCTTTGGCTGCGGCCACCCTGGTACTCACGCAGTTGGCCAGGGTTCGAGCCCATGCATTAATCCCTCGGCTTCCGACCCGGGTCGTCGTTTGTCCCGACTTCCTGGCGCTTCCGACGCCATGCATACGTGCACGCTGGCAGTACGACTCAGTTTCAGCTGCCCCCTGCCACTCGCCGGTCCGCCGCTGAGTTGCCGCGCGAGGCCCCGATTAGCCGCTTTAGGTGTGGCCAGTCTCCGCTGCTTTAGTCTCGTTCGTCGCTGCGTTGCCCGCTTTGACTGGACTCGCCGCCGGCGCGCTCGCCCGCGGCCGCTGACCAAAAACATATCCCACACCTGGGAGGGGAGGGAGAAGGGGAACCCACCGCTGGGGAGGAGATCGTCGAGGAGACCATCGAGCAGCCTTCCCCTGACGAGCGGGACAACGAAACCATCCTACAGCTGGTTTCGAGGAGCCCTTTCGCCCCTATTCGTCCTCCCTCCCCTGCCAGCGACTCGATACGGGCGGGCGCATCTACAAGCAGCCACGGGGCAACCCCTGGATCCCTGCAAAGCGCGCCAGACCCCCCCCGCTCGGGTGGGGACGTGAGCTCGACTGCAGAGACGGGCCGGCAGCCCAACCGGGGGGCATCTTTGACGCGTCGGACGGGAAGTGGATGGACGCCTAGGCTGTTCGCCGATCGCCAGTATCCAGGACCACGGGAGTCCCACACTTGAAGGCCGCTCGATAGAGCCCTGGCCCACGACGCCCAGTGGAACCCCACGGTGTGTCACCAAGCGAGACGACCAGGTACCTTCAGGTCACTCTGGGTGCGTCGTTCACAGCCGTCTGGCACGCCTTTGCCGCGCAACACGCTGCCCCTGGCACCGCGCGCGCTTTCGACCCGCGTCGGCATTGCCAGCGAACCTGCGTCGCATTCCTGAAATCACTGCGCGGCCACAGCTGCGATGTTCGGGCCATGAGCGATTCATTGGGCCTGGGTATCGCTTGTGCGCAGGAGCGTGGACAACACCTCGGACATCACGTCGGCGCGAACAGGGGGCGCCAGGCACTGTAGGGTGGGAGTGTTTTGGGCACGGCTGGGAGGAGGAGCCGCGCAACCGAGAGACCATGGACTGAGAAATTGTTCGACAGTAGCACCGAGTGTGGGGCACCACCCAGTTTCGCTGAGATGCGGTTTTGACAACACACCGGGCATGTGGAGTGGCAGCCCATCGTGATTGTCCTTGTCAGCATCAACTGCTCGAGTATAAATTTCTTCCCCCGCCTCTCAAACCGTGTACCTGGCGTGCACTTCCTTCCCCCCTCCTGCATCTTTGTGCAGCAGCGGTTAGCTGCCACACCGGGGTGCCTTCCGTGCCTGGCGTGCACTTCCCCTCCTCTCCTCCTGCTTCCTTGTGCCTGTATGCCTGGCGTTTCCGCGTGCCCCTTTCTCCCCTCCTGCATCCTAATGTTGCAGCGGTTAGCTGCCACATCGGGGTGCCTACCGTGCTTGGCGTGCACTTCCCTTCTTCTCCTTTGTTTCACCGGGTTTATCCCGCGCGGGTGGGGTTGCCGCCAATACTGCTGTCTGGTGGTGCTCTGACAGCGCGAATTCCATGCAAGGATCACACTGGGAACGGGCGGTCAGGTGGCCCCTGGCCTGCTCTTCGCTGGTGTCGGCCTCCACTGGTGACCGATGGGTTCAGTGGGGTTTCGCTACGAATTCATGCATGGATCACATTGGGAATGGGGGGCCAGGTGGCCCCTGGCCTGCTCCTGGCTGGTGTCGGCCTCCACTGGTGACCGAAAAGGGTTCATTCAGTGGGGTTCGCACGCTGCCGACCTCCACGGTTCTTGGACTTCGACATGCGTGTCTCGGTGCGCCCGTCGGCTGCTTTCTCCTGAAAGGACTTCGCTTTCGACATGTGCCACTGCTGTACAAACATGAGGTACTGCCGTTTGCAGTCCTACATGTGACGAGGTTGCCCCTTCTTCACACTTGCGCTGACACGATGCAGTTGTGTCGCCTACGGCACGGACGTCGTCCAGGTGTGCCTGTCGGTCTTGCTCGTTTCTGACGGTGCCTTGTGCCGACTCACACCGAGTGATTGACCTCTGCGTGTTTATGGTCGCGCCGCCGGGCCATTTTGGCTGCGCCTACGTGCTGGCCGCCACCGGGATATCCACACCACCGGGTTGGGAGTTTCGTTTCTGGCTCTTCTTCTGAGTGGCTGCCCGTGCGCTCGTTTCGCTTGCCTTTCTTTTCTTGCTGCCTAGTCGCGGCCCGACTAGTGTTCGGACGGTTTCGACTTGCTTCGCGAGCTCGCAAACCAAAAAAAATATCCCCATCAATTTATGCCGTGCTCTGCTCGGTGGCACGTTTACCTCTGGCGCCTGGCGCGACAGGGTACAATTCGTTTGTCATCCTAGTGACCTCCTGGTGGTCTCGCCTCTGGGATGGTTGCACTTCGGCCGCCTGGCACACCTGACAGCTCTTGCAGCCCGCCTTCAATCCCCGGCGCCGCCCGTTGTCCGTCGGCGGCAGCTCCGGCAGCCGCGGGTGCGCGCGCTATGTGATTAATTTTCGTTCGTAACCCGGGCTGGATTCGGACACCGCCTGCGCCTTCGCTTGCGGCCGTGACCAACAAATCCCAACCAGCATGGTGGGACGCACCTCCACGTGGACTGCTCATGAGTAGTTTGGCCTTCTTGTTCAGCCTTTTGAGGTTGCCAATGTTGACATGCGACACAGGTAATTACGCTGGACTGCTTGCGCAACCCCGCGCTATACCACTCTCTGCTCGGTGGCTCGTTTACCTTGAGCGCCTGGCGCGACAGGGTACAGTTCGTTTTCCTTCCTGGTGATCTCGCCCCTGGGATGGTTGCACTTCGGCCGCCTGGCACGCCAGGCAGCTCTTGCAGCCCGCCTTCAGTTTCCGGCGCCGCCCGTCGTCCTTCGGCGGCAGCTCCGGCAGCCGTGAGTGCGCGCGCTGTGTAATTAGGTGTTGCTTGTAGCCCGGGTTCGCCCGGCGTTCGACCTGTATCGCGCGCCCGCGTGCCAAAACATATCCCCACCAACCCATTCAGAAACAGATCGCCAGGCGAAGCTGCCTTGACCAAGAGGGCGTAGAAGCATACAGTGTGACAGCTGCCTTGAACATTTAGTTTTCGGAGGTCATTTGGAGCCGTTTTGGATCTCTCTTGGGGTCCTCACGGAGCCACTTGGGGCCCTCTTGGGGTTCTCTTGGAGGCGCGAGGGGCCCTTTTGGAATTTTTTGGGGGGGTTTGGAAGGACTCTTGAGGCAATTTTGGGCATTGAGGAGGGGGTCCTAAATTCAGGTCCGCCCCTTCGGATGCCCAAGCATAGCGTCTTGGGACCGTCTTGGGGCGTCTCGTGGGCCCTCTTGGGGCCCTCTAGGGGTCCTTTTGGGTCCCTCTTGGGGCTCTCCTGGGCCGTCGTGGGGCCATCGTAAGGCCGATGACCCCATCGGAAACGAAAAGGCGAGAAGGCAAACGACATTGGTTTTCCTCCGGATTGGCAGCCGTTTTGGCCTTTTGGGGGGGACCTTGGTCCTTGGGGGGGGTTGGAGGGCATTTGAAACCGTCTTGGGACCGTACTGAGGCTTTTTGGATGCTTGTCGGATGTTATCTTGGGCCATCTTGAAATATCTTGAGCCATCTCGGCAACCATCGTGGGTTCTCTGAGACCCTG